CAAGTGTAAGAACTTTTCCAATCCTCGCGACAATTATCCTATTAGGTGGATACATTTCTTGTGCTATTGAATTTCTATAAAGACATTGATACACTGTCCTAGAATTTTTTTTCTCTTCTCCCTTTTGAAGGTGAGAAAAACACTTAGAAGGGGGGTTGAATAAGGGTTTTGAAATAAATATGGCAATAAAAACAACACAGTATTTTTATCCTGGTTCGTTGAACTCAACTAATCCAGTCCACCCTACCCAGGTGATTTGCCTTTCTCAACAAGGACTTAATTCACTATATTCAAACAGATTACAGTGTCAACCACTAAGAACAATTGTCTTAGTCTTCTCAAGAAATCCTGACCACAACTTGGTCTTCTTAAGGAACCTTTTACAAATAAATGTAAACTAACAAGTGTTTAAGATACTTCTAAAAAGCTATATCACAACTGTGATTTTTACACTTAGATTAAGAACGAATAAAAGCTATTCAGCTTATGAATTAAATTGTATGAGAGCTTGAGAGTAGTTTTCAATTTGATTTCTCAATAATACGTCAATTCGTCAACTTTGAAATGTTGTTGAAGACATCCTTTTATAGAGCAGAAAGTCCAATGCTTGAAGACTGTGCGTAGCAGAGTAGCTGTAGCCTTTTTATCTTCTATTGACTTTAGCTTTCCCAGAAGAGGAATGTTCAGACAAATCCCTTTTGTCTGATTTCCTGTGCCATACATGAATAAGGAGAGAGTCGTTTGGAATATGCCAGCGGATATATCTTTGAATAATATCTTCTTCAACAAGCTTATGTCTCAAAGTTATCAACATCAGAGTCTTGATGCTATCAGAGTTTTGCAGCCAATGTGCTTCAGCGTGAATATCAATCAGAGCAGAGTTTGAATAACAAAGCCTCTGTACTTGCAGCGTAAAGTACTTTCAGAGTCTTCTTGAAACAATGCTTGAAACTCTTCATACAAATTTTTCAACTACACTTCAGAGTCTTCTGCAGCTTCTGCTTCAGAGTCTCTTCTGGCAGCGCTCAGAGTCTTCTGATGACTTGCTTCTGATGCTTCAGAGCTTTGCGTAGAGTAATGTTCAGATGCATTTTTGTTTCCATAAGAGTATTTAATTTAATATCTGAAACAAAAACACTTGAACAAAATTAGAGTATATATTTTCTTAATACAAAATTTTATTAGAGTTATCATCAAAACATAGAGATATATTAAACACCAATCTGTGTTCTAACACTTTTTCTTTTCTACTTTTTCCTTCTAAAAAAATACATAGGTCAAAGATAACATTGGAGGAGGAAAGAACATGAGGGTAAAAAGTTTGTTCCTTTTCTTAGGGAAAAAACACTTATATCCTTTCTTTTACACTAGAAGTAAAAATGGGTAAGATTACTAAGCATATTCATGCTCGAGATATTTCTTCCTTTTACTACAATTTTGGCATGGTCGACATGTTTCGCCAGAGCATTATGTTTTCTAGCACATGACATGAAGAGGATGTGATATTGGAACCCTGTTTAAAAACAGAGAGTGAAAATATGGACAACTCTATTGAGCTATCTGCTCCTTATTATTATTTTCATCTACCTGTTATTCACGAGCTGGGAGTCTTGGTTCCTTTTACTCATTTTGAGGTAGATTTCCTGGCAATTGTCAATTTGGCCCTCTCACAAATCACCCTCAACGTATAAAGTATGCTTAGGTATTTCTAGAAAATTTGTTGTAAATTGGGTATCCCTCCCACCTTTTAGGTGTTCCTTTATTTCTTTAGCACATAAATTCTTCCTAACAATGGTTAGTGAATGTTGTGTTTTTTGTCAGGAATGTACTTGTTGAAACCATATGTGAACCCTTATGAGGATTAGAAAGATAGGTTTGTACAAGTGAGAGGGCGAGGCGGTGCCTCTCCGATAATCATAAGGCAATAGGCATCCCTTTTTTACTCTATCGTGGATGTTAAATCGTCAACATATCAAAGGGGTGGATTCAAGCGCTCTTTTCCCCATTGGCCAAGAGATGATTCAGATTTTAAAATGCTTCCGGGCCCTATACTCTTGTACTCTAATCACTCGGGTAAGCTTTATGGTATGAAAGAATAATTTTTGATCTAATCCCATATTTATCATCTTATATCTTTTAATAAAATTCCATTCTTCTTTGTAAAGGATATTACTGAACTCTCTCTTGATAAGACGAAAGAGCACTTGGCTCTTATGCAAGATATGCCACAATGGGTGGGTTTTCTCCCTCTCTTCCCCATGGATTGGACTACTAGCGAAAGAAATCAAAAGTGAGAAACACCCTAGGTTGGTAAGGCTCTCCCTCTCGAGATTCTGATATGGAAGGAGAGTCCTTCTGGACCATCAAGAAGTCGCCAGGGAACAGAAGAGGGTGATAAAATAGGTGGTGTATCTTCCCCTCCTAGACCTTCCCTGTGGAATATCATTACCTTTAATGCATTGAAGTTCTCAAATCTTCACGTCTTCTTTTCAAGGAGCTTTCCTGGTGATTACCAGTCACTTCTTGACACATCTTCTGCAAGTTTATCGAACTTACTAGAGAATCAACTTTTGTGATGCCCACTAGTAAGGAAAGTACAGAGAGAGAAACATTTATGTATTATCCTTGAATTACAGTCCAAGAAGAATTATGCTAAGAGAATCGTCCAAGAGGGTCAGGAGGTAGCAAGGGCGTTGAGAGAAAAGCGGGATGCTTTGATGGTGCGCACTAGGAAATAGCTATCGCGACTCTTGACTAGTTTGAAGAGGCGAATTGTCTAAAGCAACCGCTCTATGAAGCTCTTAGTACTAAGGAAATTTTGGAAGAGAAAGCCTCATAACTCAAGGATGAGGTTATGGCTACCTCTGTCAAACATTTCGAAAGCGCGAAAAGACAAGTTGCCTTCTTTTATCCTGACCTAGACTTAACCCATATGTATCCATTTCAGGTGGTTTGAGATGATCAACTAGTGGATGATGAGCAATCCCTTGAACTTTGTCCCTTTTATAATATCCTTTTTTAGTAATACTAAATGACTCTCTACTTTATGTTTGTTAATATTATCAGTATAGGCATATTTTATGCCTGTACTTTATTCTTGGCTAACGACAGGGTGAAATGATTTATTACTTGGAAAGCCAGGGTATCATTCTATAAAAGAGGGTTGAATTGATTCGTTATCATGATTACAAGTATCGTTTGGAGATTTAGTTCTCCTCCATGCTAGTGGAGGTATTCCACGAAGATCCAACCTTTTGATTGCCCTCAAAGGTGATCAGGATCCCTCTTTAAGGTCCATCATCTTGATTGTCTCTTGGGGCGACAATAATTCTTGTTAGGGGTCCAACATTTGACTGTCACTAATATGGCGGCAAGGATTCCTCTTAAGGATCTAATTTTCTTTTATCATCGCCAAGGGCGGCAAGGATCCTTCTTAAGGATCCAACATTTTGATCGTCTATAAGGGCGGAAAGGATCATTCTTAAGGATTTAGCATCTTGATCGCCTCTAACGGTGGCAAGGATCCTTCTTAAATAGCCAACATTTTGATCACCACGAAAGGCAACAAAGATCCCTCTTAAGGATCCAACAGTTTGATCGCCTATAAGGATGTCAAGTATTCCTCTTAAATCACATTCTTTCATTTTGCCATTGCAAAAAAAAAAAACTTCTAGAGACGTGAATTGTGAAGAGATTGAGATGAACTCGGTTAGAGAGAAGTTGAACTCTCTCTAGCCATATTCTTAAATTTTTACTTTTATAAATTTTAAAAATTATTTCATATTTAAAAATAATAATAATAATAATAAAGATCGATTTAATAAATTAATTAAAAACCCCAAAATATTTTGCTAAAACTTAAAGTGTTTAAGGAAGGAAAATCGACAATATAACTCTATTTTTTTTTTATATTTGAGAATAATTAAGGTTTTGTTTAAGAGTTTAAAAAGGAGAAGAATGAAAGACTTATAAAAAAAAAATTTAAAAAAAAAATTTGATAGTTTTTTAAACAATAATTTTAGATAGAACAATAAAAAAAGTATTTATCATTATTATATTTTAAATTTTCAGGATATTATAACAACATACAATATATTTATAAAAAAAATTATATAAACCCTCCAAAATCCTCTAAAATCCTCATTCAAGGCAAATTTTGAATTTCCTAAATTATGAAATTTTTGAGGTTATAAAATAAAAGCAAACCTTGCAAAATCTTCTCGACCAAAATCCATCTATTTTTTATTCAATCTTTCTATTTTTTCAAATCCTCGTTATTTTGCCCCCGAACTCCCAAATAGAAGATACTTATGTTAATCCAAAATAACTTAAGACATCATTATGTCCTTTAAGTTATTTGTTTGTAACATATTGATATATTGATGTTTAAGTTACTTTTATAATAATTTAGTCTTTTAAGTTAAAAAATATGTTGAATTATAATCTTACTTTATATATTTTATATATTAATTTATGTATTTAAAATACTACTTTATGTAGTTTAATTTACTTTATATATTTTGCATTATTGGTTTAATCAAAAAAAAATTTTAATGGTAATAGTGCACATGGTTTTTAACTTAAACAATCAAGTTATTACAAAATAAATTTAATAGTCAATTAATTTATTGCAAACAAATAACTTAATAGATACCTAATGTAATTATGCCATAACATAATGATAAAATCAAAACCACATGTAGTTTACACTAAAGGGAAAACAAACTATTGATTAGGCATCAAACTGTATCCACTAATTAAAGTTTCCAACGTTCACACACAATAGACACCAATGTTAGGTAGGATACAGTGGTCTAAACAAAAGGAAAAATACTCAAATAAATAATATAAAGAACTAAAGATACTCTTCTCCGAATATTAAGGTTATTGTTTATTGGTTTTTTTTTTCCTTTTCAGCCACACAATAATTGGAATCCCTCTTTCAAATATATATCGCTTAATCAAGAATGGATAAACTAAAGATCTGATCTGCCAGGGAAATGTCGGAAGATCAGAATCAGCATAAAATATTAAGTACTTTGGTCAATGATGAGAAGAAAATCATTCGTAGGGAAATTGAAAAACAAAGGAGGATGCAAATGTCTATTCTATGCTCATCACTCAGTTCTTCACTTCCTTTTCATCTCATCAAGGTCTTTCATCACTTACTTTTATTATTTTTATTTTGCTCTTATTAATTACCATCATTTAGTAATAATAATAATCTTAATATTAAGGGAAAGCGTTCAGTATCAGATCACATAGGTGAGGCTGCAAATTATGTCCAAATTTTGAAGGAAAAGGTTAATGAACTTGAAAAGAAGAGGGATAAGCTCAAAGAAATTATTAGTTCAAGTATGATTGAAACTGGAAATATTGAACTATCAGCAGATCCTTCAAATTTGGTGAAGTGTGTAAACATTAATCTAATTCCAGATGGGGTGGAAATTGTTGTATCCAGTGGTTTCGAGGATCGCAGTTCGCATTTATCAGAAATAATGAAGATAATACTTGAAGAAGGATGTGATGTTGTTCACTGTGTTACCAACCAAGTTAATGGGAAGGTATTTCATACTATTAAGTCTCAGGTACAGTACTAGCTAGCTAATTAACTTTTAACCTACTTAGTTAATTTTAATCTGTGTCTGTTAATCAGTACTACTCTAGTTTAGGGTATATTAATCTGAGTTTGGACAATTTTACTTGTGGAAGTGCAAAAAGTTTAATTAATACGCATATGTATATGAACTATTGTTGAATAGGTGGAAGACATGGCACACCTTGATCTTGCTAGGCTTCAAAAGAAACTCGATTATGCAATCTTATTGTCAAGGTAGTCATATATATCATGTTACGAGGAGAGAAACAAGTGCTCGAATTGTGATATCAGGACTATATATATATATGATCAGTATTTTCAGCTTTTGAATTATTTGTACTTGTAAAGTCAGTGCTTTTGATGCCAAAAAATTTCTTACTGAAGTTAATATGTGTGACTATGATTAGGATTTTGAAGCTGCCTTCTGTTGATTTTAATGTAATATATGTTAGTACAACCTGATGCCTATGATCATTAGGTTTACGCAGCTACTTTTTTCTCTTTGATTACTTACACATCTTTGTTTGATCCGTCTTTATTTCTCTTTCACTACTTACTCATCTTTGTTTAATCCATCTTTTTTCTCTTGAACTGTCGTGCTTATTGATAGGATGATAATTCTGATGCATCAATTGATGCATGTAGTTTGGACTAGTTATAGCAACTAATGTCTGTTAAAATTCATTAACGTGATTTCTGCTTTATATATATATATATATATATATATATATATATATATATATATATATATATATATATATATATATATATATATATATATATATATATATATATATATATATATATATATATATATATATATATATATAAAATTGTTGTTGTTGTATTTAGGATAGTGAGCAATATGAGAGTTCTCGGAAGAACAACGTGAAACCTGATTCTTTTTTAAAGGATTTTTAGGTTGGATTTATTCCCTTAAAGAACATCTTCTTTAGCTTTTTTTTCAATTTCCACCCAAAGATTTGGCAAGAGAGATTGGTTAGGTAGAAAACAGGAATTGAGATTTATTTGGAAGAGGACCCTTCTTTTCAATATTGGTTCTCTCTCGATAGAGATAAGTTAAATTGAAATCATACACGAGATTGTGTGTCATTTGTTGTCTTTGTGTATAAATTGAATAATATTGAGGTAATTCAACTTTACTTATCCACTCACAAAAGCTTTATCAAAGAAAATATTTTGTTGAATGAATGAAAAATTGATGTTAACATAGCGTAATAATCTGACATAAATTGGTTTAATGAAATGATTTTCAAAGATAAGAGTGCATCTGAGATAATTAAATGGATGTCATATATGTTTAAGTTTAATGTAATAACTTGAAACGCATACGACATTTATAAATTTACATTTTATACAAAAATCAAGGATGATCGTAGTACCATGCAAAACAGTGAGACTATGGATGAGGCTGAATCCATTTACTTATCTAATTCCAAAGATAATAATCATGTGATGGCATCCCTTAGTTGTGTTCTTGCTATTAAGTGGAGACTCGTGCTGCTTTTAGCAAGTTTATGGTTGGAGAGATGTAGCTTGTGTTCTCTTTTATTGCTCTTGGTCTTTATCGTCTTACGCTCTCTCATTTCCTATATTGGTTTGTTCGATTTGATTTATTGTCTTGCTCTTTTTTATTGTTGTTGTGTTTTTCTGCTTTGCTTGTTGTTTTAGTACTCCTTGTGTCACTTTTCTACTTCTTGTGTTGTACATTGAGCATTCAGAGCCTTGTCAATTATATAAATAGTTTTTGTATTGGTCAAAAAGTACATGTGTGTGTGTCTCCATATAAGGGAATGTGGACTCCAGGCCTTAGTAGGTTTATAATAATTGTGGGTGGAGAGAGATTGCCCACAATAGCGAGATTCCCTGTTTAATGGGATTTTAGGAGTCTTGCTCACGTGAGATGAGAGAATCGGCAGTTAAATGAAGCGCTTAGGTATAAGTTTCTTGGAGTTGATAAATGTGAGTTAAACACTATGTTTTAAGGGGTGTAATGATCCGATGGCTTAGCATTCTCTTGAAAATAACTAAACTTGTACTTTTATAAAGTTTAAAAGTTATTTCATATTCTAAAAAATAATAATAAAGTTTGATTTAATAAATTAATCATAAAACCCAAAGTATTTTTGAAAATTAAAAGTGTTTTAGGAAGAGAAAATCGACAATATAGCTTTATTTTTTTTAATATTTGAGAGTAACTAAGGTTTTGTTTGAGAGTTTAGAAAGGAAAAGAATGAAAGACTTCTAATTTATTTTTTTTAATATAGAAAAATATTTGATATATTTTTAAATAATAATTTTGTATAGATCGATAAAAAGTGTTTATCATTATTATATTTTTAATTTTCAAGATATTATAACAACATTTAATATATTTAAAAAATTTATATAAGTCCTCCAAAATCGTAAAAGACCCTCCTCCAAAATCCATTCATTTTTTTATTCAATTTTTCTCTTTTTTCAAATCCCTGTCATTTTTCCTCCGAACACCCAAACAGAAGCCACTTAAATTAAGCCAAAATAATTTAATGCATAATTACACTAGAGGTCCTTTAAATTATTTATTTGTAATAAGTTGGCCTTTAAATTGTTTTCGTAACAACTTGATCCTTTAAATTAATAAATATGTTGAATTAAGATTTTACTTTATGTATTTTGAATGCTACTTTATGTATTTAAGATGATCAACAATGTTATTCATACACCACTTTCCTACACGAATACTTACACCGTATGCACTGTTCACCGTATTTATACGATAAACAGCGTATTTTCTTAATAAAATAATATATTTATGAATAGTACCATGAACAGTGCGTGAACAGTGACTCGTGATAAGTGTCTGTGAATAGTTCTTTAAATTATGAAACAAAGTTGGTTAATGAAAGATATAAAGTTGGTTAATGAAATCGTGAAATTGGTTAATAAACACTCTAGTATTAAAAATATTTTTTAACAGTAAACAAAGTTGGTTAATACCATGTAAAATGTTGCTTAATAGAGTTATAAAATTTATTAATCACACAATTTCATATCAGTATTATGTAATTTAAAAATAAAAATAAAATTATTTTTTTATATTCTTTTAAAATATATATTTAATATTATAATATTTTACTGTTCACCGTATTGATAAACAGTGAAATACAGTATAGGTGGAAAAAATAGTGTAAAAATATCATTTATCTTAAGATGATATTTTATATAGTTTGATGCTACTTTATATATTTTGCATAATTGATTTAATCAAAAAATATTTTTAAATAAAGTATTACAATATACATGTTTGTTAATTTAAAGGATGAAATTATTACAAAATAAATTTTAAGGTCAACCTATTATAAACAAATAAATTGAAGGAGTTGTGATATAATTATGCGATAACTTATTGATTAGTCTAGACTAAAGGGAAAACAACCCATTGATTAGGCATCAAACTATATACAGAAATTAAAGTTTCCAAAGTTCACACATCAAACTATATACAGAAATTAAAGTTTCCAAAGTTCACACACAATAGACACCAATGTTAGGTTGAATACAGTGGTCTAAACAAAAGGACTAAAGATAATTATATAAAGAACTAAAGATACTCTTCTACGAATATTAAGGTTATTGTTTATTGGTTTTTTTTTTCCTTTTCAGCTACACAATAATTAGGATCCATCTTTGAAATATATACCGCTTAATCAATAATGGATAAACTAAAGATCTGATCTGCCAGGAAAATGTCGGAAGATCAGAATCAGCATAAAATATTAAGTAGTTTGGTCAATGATGAGAAGAAAATCATTCGTAGAGAAGTTGAAAAACAAAGAAGGATGCAAATGTCTATTCTATGCTCATCACTCAGTTCTTCTCTTCCTTTTCATCTCATCAAGGTCTTTCATCAACTTACTTTTTTATTTTTATTTTTCTCTTATTAATTACCATCATTTAGTAATAATAATAATCTTATTATTATAGGGAAAGCGTTCAGTATCAGATCACATAGGTGAGGCTGCAAATTATGTCCAAATTTTGAAGGAAAAGGTTAATGAACTTGAAAAGAAGAGGGATAAGCTCAAAGAAATTATTAGTTCAAGTATGATTGAAACTGGAAATATTGAATTATCAGCAGATCCTTCAAATTTGGTGAAGTGTGTCAACATTAATCTAATTCCAGATGGGGTGGAAATTGTTGTATGCAGTGGTTTCGAGGATCGCAGTTTGCATTTATCAGAAATAATGAAGATAATACTTGAACAAGGATGTGATGTTGTTCACTGTACTACCAACCAAGTTAATGGCAAGATATTCCATACTTTTAAGTCTCAGGTACAGTAGTAGCAAACTAATTAACTTTTAACCTACTTAATTAATTTTAGTCTGTGTCTGTTAATTACTACTCTAGTTTAGGGTATATTAATCTACTAGTGGAAGTCCAAAAAGTTTAATTAATGAGCATATGTATATGAATTATTGTTGAATAGGTGGAAGACTTGACACACCTTGATCTTGCTAGGCTGCAAAACAAACTGGATCAGGCAATCTTATTGTCAAGTTAGCATGCATATATATCATGTTATGCGGAGAGAACCAAGTGCAATTTGAGACATCAGGAATATATATATATATATATATATATATATATATATATATATATATATATATATATATATATATATATATATATATATATATATATATATATATATATATATATATATATATATATATATATATATATATAATTCATCAGTATTTTCAGCTTTTGATTTATTTGTATTTGTAATGTCAGTACTTTTGTTGCTAAATATATTTGTTACTGTAGTTAATGTGTGTGACCTTGATTAGGATTCTCAAGCAGCCTTCGGATGATTTGAATGTAATATATGTTAGTACAACCTGATGCCTAAGATCATTAGATTTACGCACCTATTTTATTTCTCTTTGACTACTTATTCATCTTTGTTTGATCCGTCTTTTTTTTTTCTTGATCTGTAGTACTTATTGATAGGATGATAGTTAGAATGCATCAATTAATGCATGTAGTTTGGACTAGTTATAGCAACTAATGTCTGGTTAATATTCATTAATGTGATTCTTTGCTTTATATATATATATATATATATATATATATATATATATATATATATATATATATATATATATATATATATATATATATATATATATATATATATATATATATATATATATATATATATATATATA